TGATAAAGACAGCTCTTATAATCTCTATAGTTTAGTTACTATCTAGTTGAACCTCCAGATCACATGTGGAGATGAAGTTACACTTCTCATTGCTGAGGTGGCTTAATGATTCCTTGACTAGCACACAATGGCCATCTGCAAGCACTACATACCATTACAGGGAAATTTCAACCCAAACTCACTTTCACATTTTTCTGTCTTCTACAACTACTGGCACATTTGACCTTGGTGTTAACTCAAGATATAGATTAGACATCCATCAGAAAACCCTTTTTAAAAGCCCTTTTCAAGATGAAACCAGTAATCTTTCCATTGTTTAACTCTGTCTGGCTCCTCTCTCCAGCTATTTTGGTTTCAGTCCAGTTCTTACTGTCCCTTGAAAATTCAACTTAAAATCCATTTACCTTCTTCAGCTACTATAGTATTTGTTAACCATCTCCAACCATTAAATTTAAAGTCTAGGCTAATTTTATGTTGTTAATAATCACACCTTGAGTGAGAAGAACAGTCATTTATAAATTTTTCCCATAAACAAAGCACCAAAAGAAGGTGTTGAGCTATATTTTGTTTGCCTTTTTTTGTTTTTTTTTTGGTGGGACTAGAGTTTGAATTCAAGGCTTCCTGCTTACACAGCAGGTGCTCTACCACTTGAGCCATACCTCCAGTCCATTTTTCTCTGCTTATTTTGGAGATAGGGTTCACAGACTATTTGCTGGGCTAGAAATCCTCTCAAACTCAGCCTCCCAAGTAGCTAGGATTACAGGCAAGAGCCAGCAGCACCCAGCAAGGACTGTATTTTGAGTGAACCAATTTCATTTTCTATGTTTCAGCAGCAAATCAAGTAATAACATTATGTTAGGAAAAAATATGTGAATTTTATCTGGACAAATAATTTTTTTTGAGAAATCTTTTAAATTCCTAAGAGAGTTTTTTTATTTTAAGTTTAAATGAACAGCTAACAAATAATAAGAATTACTATGAAATCTTTGGGAGAATAAAGGTGAAAAACTTTTTCCTCATATAATGCTCAGTCCCATCAGCTCTTCTATGAAGGAAAAAGGGCAGAAAATTTTGACATTTCATTAAATTAAGACCTTTTTTTGCAAATGCAATGATCAATTAAAACTAGAATGGTAAGGTGAAACTTCTGGATTCAAGTACAAATGGTAAAAAACTGAACTCAAAGCAGTATTTTCTGAAATTATATGAAATCCAAGTTTCATTCTCCACAATAAAGGTCTTTTGAAATAGTCATACTCATTTGTTTATATAACGTCTGTGGTTACTTTTTGGCACAGTACTGGGGCTTTAACTCAGCGCCTACAACTTGAGCCACTCCACCAGCCCTTTTTTTTGTGTTGGGTTTTTCAAGATAGGGTCTCACAAACTATTTGCCCAAGGCTGGCGGTGAACCTCAATCCTCCTGATCTCTGCCTCCTGAGTAGTTAGGATTACAGGCATGAGCCACTGGCACCTCCTATTTTTGCCTTCAGGGCCTTGCACTTGCCAGGCTAGCACTCTTCCACTGAGCTAAATCCCCAACCTCCTGTAGTTGCTTTCATACTAAATAGTACATAAATCATAACAGAGATTGCGTGGTGGGAAAACCCAAAATATTTACTATCTGGCCGTAGCAAATTCTAATCAGATGGGCCATGGTGGCTCACGCCTGAAATCCCAGCTACTTAGGGGAGGAAATCGGGATGACTGAAGTTCAAGGAAAGCCTGGGCTGAAAGTTAGCTAGACCCCATCTCAATAAGCCAGGCATGGTGCATACCTATAATCCCAGTTATAGGCAGAGGATGGTCATGGTCCATGCAGGCCAGGGCAAACTCAAAACCCTCTCTAAAAAGTAACTAAGTAAAAGGGCAGGGGGCACAGCTTAAGCAGTAGAGCACCTGCCTAGCAAGCACAAGGGCCTGAGTTCAAACCCCAGTACTGCCAAAAAGAAAAAAAAAAAAAAAAAAACTAATCATTCCCTATAACAGTTTGAACATATGGAAAAGGTGTTAAAATATCAATACATGTAAATTAAGATGAGGTACAATAGGGTTCAGTGAGATAGGCCTTTTCCTATATTGCTAGTAGAAATGTGAACTGATTGATCTTTTCTGTAAAACTTTCACTGCTGTACAGAATTCAACCATAAGAAAATTAACATAATTTATTCTATTCCCTACTGATATATATGCTAATATATACACACATACATATATACATATATAATATATAGTTTTCACATTTTTACTCTTAGAAACAATGGTGTATTATCTTAGTGAATTGTATATTTGAGATTTTTATAGCTGCAATATTAATATCAATCAGCAAAAAAAAAAAAAAACCAATCAGCAACTAATGCTAAATCTATAGGAGTCAAATCTCAAATCATTCCTATGACAAAAATCTAAGATGAACTTATCTAGAGATGAACATCTTCAGCTTTGCTAGATATTGCTAAAACATTCTCTAAAATAACAGCAATTGCTGGGCACCAGTGGCTCACGCCTATAATCCTAGTTACTTGGGAGACTGAGATCAGGAGGATTGTGGTTCAAGGCCAGTCTGGACAAATAGTTTAAGAGACCCCCCCCCCATCTCCAAAATAACCAGAGCAAAATGGACTGGAGGTGTGGCTCAAGTGGTAGAGTGCCTGCTTTGCAAGTGTAAAGCCGAGTTCAAAAAAGAAAAAAAATAAAGATTTATTCTCATACAGCACACTTTTCAGGCATACTAGCGACAATCTGATGGAAAGGAATGTGCATCTCACTGTTACTTTCATCTGTATCTTCCTAATTATCAATAAGGTTCCTAACATCTTTCCTTATTACTAACCATTCATGCATGTTCTTTTTCTATGAAATGACTTACCATGTCTTTGCCTATTTTTTTTATTATAGCCTTTTTCTTTTATTTCCTTTTGGTTTTGTTTCATTTAATAATTTCAAGGTGAATTCCCATTCTTTTAAGAGCAAATTCCTTCAAAACCAATACCTTTCCTCCAGGGCTGCTTTCACTTTCTTGCCTTAGGTAGATCCAGCATCCCTTGATAGTACTTTTCATAGCCATTTGATGGAAATTGAGAAATAGAATTTCTTTTTATTAATACTACTACTATAATTACCTGATTATAATCAGGTCACTCCCCTCTAACAAATCCATATGTCCCACAGAATAATTCCAAAGTCCATAGGCTGGTTTTCAGACCTTTCCACAGTTTTACCTTGACCCACATTTTCAGCCCATTAGCATGCTACATATATTCTATGCACCAAACAAAATGGATTGTTTGCCACCCATCAAACACTCTACCTGATCTTTCTAATTCTGTCTTGATTCAGGCTGTTCCTGATACCCATCTGTTCATTGGAAACTCGTCCATGAAGGTATGCTCTTACAATATAATACCAAAAATTAAATACAGAAAATAAGTTTGAGTTTTCTTTTTTAATTTTTTGGTACTAAGGTTTGAACTCAAGGCCTTGTGCTTGCTAGGCAGGCACTTAACCACTTGAGCCACATCCCCAGCCCTTTAAAAATTTTTTTTTTTTCAGGTGGGGTCTCAGACCTGGCCTCAAACCACCATCCCCCTATCTATGGCCTCCCAAGTAGCTGGCACTACAGATGTGCTGCACTATGCCCAGCTTGATGGCTGAGAGAGGGTCTCACAAACTTTTGCCCCAGCTATCGTCTAATCATGATCTTTCCGTCCAAGTAGCTGGGATTACAGGCATGAGCCACCTTGCCTACCTTAGGAAATATTTTTTTTTAAATCACTAATTTAGGGCTGGGAGCATGGCTAGCAAACATGAGGCCCTGAGTTCAAACCTCAGTATGGCCACAAAACAAAAACACCAATTTGTAGCCTTGAGAATAAAAGTGATTTAGACAAAAACCAATTGATAAATCCTCATATTTTCTGAGGAATGGGGTAATCTGCATAATCTTGACGTGTCTTCCCCTCAACCTTATAGTTTTGAGTAGGTTGAAGAAATTTTTAAAAATCAAAATATTACCAATAAGGAGCAAAAGACCACCTATCTTCAGATGTGATGCACTCAGAGAGACTATCACTTATGCAGTACTCCAGTGAAAAATATGTAAGCTTGAGAAACATCAAAGAAACCCAAACTGAGAAAATTCTATGAAATAACTAGCCTATAGTATTTTTCTTAAATTCAATGCCATAAAAGTCAAAGGAAGGCTGAAAACCCATTCCAGATTAAGAGACTTAAAAACAAATGATCCTTGACTCGAGAAAAATGCTATAAAAAATACTGGGATAACTGATGATATATGAATATGGACTGTAGACTTAAAATGTGTTCCTTTTTTTTGCAGTACTGGGGTTTGAACTCAGGACCTAGACCCTGAGCCACTCCACCAGCCATTTTTTGTGATGGGTTTTTTGAGATAGGGTCTCTCAAACTATTTGCCTGGGCTGGCTTCAAACCATGGTCCTCCTGATCTCTGCCTCCTGAGTAGCTAGGATTACAGGCGTGAGCCACCAGCTGCCGGCCTTAAAATATGTTCTTAATAAATATTTACTGAATTAAAAGAACTTTCATTCCAAGAACTCACCTAAGGAAACACAATGATAACATACAGGTGAGAAGAGAATCTGACAGGACAAAATGGTTAATGTGCTGAAAAGCATCTAGAGCCTTAAAGACAAAAGTTTACAAATTAACAAAGCTGGAAGCATTCAGAGAAACCAATACCACCTACCTTCAAGGAAAAGCACATGACTTTTCAAGAAAAGGCTTCAGTTTTCTAGTACTGAACATAAAACTGTAGCTATCAAAGGAAAAAGAACTGAAAGAGTTAGTCACCTATAAAAAAATTTACACTCTTAGCTGGGGACAAGGCTCAAGCGGTAGAGCATCTGCCTAGCAAGTGCAAGGCCCTAAGTTCAAATTCTAGTACCACCAAAAAGAAAAAAAAGTGACCCCCAAAATTTAGACTCTTAGGTTTTATATAAAACATCTAAAAATACACATTATACTATCTTATGAGTTTTAATGACACTAACAGCTTTATTTAACAAACATCGAGTGACTACTATGTGCAAAAAGCACTATGCTAGGTGCCGTGAAAGATACAAAGATGAAAAAGACATAGTCCCTGCCCACAAGGAGCGTATAATCTAGTGAGGGAGACAGACATACACAAATAACTACAATACAAGGCAGTAAACAAGAGTAGCAAGTGCTGAGTGTGGCCTGAGTGTAATACTAACTAACCTCAAGGTTCCCATGTGAAACACTAGTGAAGTAGTATTGGCTGCTTTGAAAATCCCATCTCAAGATTAGCATCACAGATATTTAATTGGTCCTACTCAAGCAGCTGGAGAAGAGTAGGTCAGGTGGAGGGGCTGCTTGAAAGCACTGTCACACCTACATACATGGTGCTGATACAAATATGTAGGAACAGCTAAAAAAGAACATATATGTATGTGTGTGTGTGTATATATATATATATATATATATATTTATCATCTGTCCTTTGGTTAATGGCTATAACTACTGTTTTAAACAATATACTTTTATATAAAAAGGAATTTATATAATCCCAGAAAAATCAATTTAAGGATTAGCATTAATTCAAGAAAGAACCCTGTCATAGGCAATTTTATTTATTAACTGATTCTCTCCTCTAAATATCTATAAAGCTCTGTAGCAATTAAATGGTTAAACAGGTAAGTATTGCTGAGTAAAAAACCTCTTATGTAAGTTCAGCCTTCTGAAGGAAATGGTCACGTACCTGATATACTATTCTAATAGCAACAAGAAGGCCTTAAAGAGATTTAAGGAAAATAATTTTTAATGCCTCAATGCAAATGGAATACACGCTGATTAAATACAATTCAATGTTCTTTGAAAAAAATATCTCAATTGACAGCGTTTGATACCAGTTAAGGCCAGCAAGATTGAGGAAAATATTACATGTATTGTCTTTCATTGGTTTCATGTGTCCTTGCATGTGACTATGCAACCCAATCTTTTCTTTCAAAATTCCATTTGTTGGTATTGATGAGCTCTGATTTGCTTTTAGCTCAGAGGCTAGTAATAGCTGCTGACCACTCCCTCTTGGTAGTACTATCTGAAATAACTGGCAAGGTAGAAGCATATTTTCTGGCTGCTTTTCCTACTTCCTGAATTGGAGGGTTCACTGCTTAGCCTGTTTCCTTCAGTGTATCACTGTGGTCCTGGGTCCTCTGCTGCTTTCTCTCAAGGAAACGAGCCCGTGCATCTGATATGGATTTGTCATCATTTCTTCTTTGCATTTTCTTTAAGACTTCTTTTGATATTCCATCTGAAAACAATATAAATTAATCCAATAAAACTTTACTTTTGAAATTCAGTACAAGACCAGATAACAGAAAGAAAGACCCTGCCAGGCACCAATGGCTCACACTTGTAATCCTAGCTACTCAGGAGGCAGAGATCAGGAGGATCACGGTTTGAAGCCAGCCCGGGCAAATAGTTCGTAAGACCCTATCTCAAAAAAAAACCCATCACAAAAAAGGGCTGGTGGAGTGGCTCAGGGTGTAGGCCCTGAGTTCAAACCCCAGTACTGCAAAGAAAAGGAACACATTTTAAGTCTACAGCCCATATTCAGATATCAGTTATCCCAGTATCTTTTAAGAAATACCCTAATTATTTAATGTTAAAAGAAAGGAATAAATTTTGCCTTACTAGAAGAAATGGTGTATTTTATGGTTAATAAATAAGACTACATGGCTAGAGATGTAGCTTAGTAGTAGAGTGTGTGCTTTACATGTACGAAACCCAGGGTTTGATTCCCAGCACCACCACCACAATAAAAAAAGCACACAGTGGCCAACAAGTCTGAAAAAAATGCCCCTAATTCAAGCATGTAGAACAGTGTTCTAACACTAGCAAAACATCAAGTGCCTGACATTTCTAAAGACCCTTCTATGATTTCTTGGGCAAAATTTTCACCATTTCCCAGTGAGGATGAGATAAGGATAATATAATATGATAAGATTCAAAAAGTTTTATTGAGAAGCATTTTGTGTGCCGGGCACTAGTGACTCATGCCTGTAATCCTAGCTTCTCAGGAGGCAGAAACCTGGAGGATCACGGTTCGAAGTGAGCCCAGGCAAATAGTTTGAGAGACCCTATCTCAAAAAAACCCATCACAAAAAAGGGCTGGTGGAGTGGCTCAAGTTGTAGGCCCTGAGTTCAAACCCTAGTACCAATAAAAAAAAAAAGAAAAAGGTTTATATGAGCTGACAATTACACTTACTGCCCTACTTCACTACCACAACTATTTATGCCTCTCTTGTAGAGACCTAACATTTCAGGAAAAATGAAGTTAACAAGGCTGGGCATGGTGGCTCACACCTATAGTCCCCAGCTACTTGGGAGGCAGAAATTGGGAGGATTGTGATTCAAAGCCAACCCTGGGCAAAATGTCAGACCTCATCACAATCAATAAGCCAGGCATGATAGCATGTGCCTATAGTCCCAGTTACATGGGAGGCTGGCAGTCCACGCAAGCACTGGGCAAAATCTTGAGACCCTATCTAAAAAATAACCTAAAAGCAAAAAAGGCTGGAGGTGTGGCTCAAGTGGCAGAGTGCTTGCCTAGCAATTGCAAAAGGCCCTAAGTAGAAAAATGATTCACTTACCCTTTAACTGCTTCACATTTTCTTTATTTGTCCATCTTCTTCTTGCATCTTCTCTCACTTCACGTCGAGCCACACTGCTCAAATCATGTGCATTAAATTCATGCAACTTGGGTAACAAGTCTCTCACCCATTCATAACGGATTGGACACACAATTCTTGCGTAGACTTTGGTGGTAACTAATACCTCATGAAAAATGATCCATTCAAGTTTGGTTTCCTGTTCATGAAGCTATAGAGAAGAATTTATTTAAGGATAACAACCCTATTCCACATTAGACTAACCAAATAATAGCCCAAATCCTTCAAACAAACAGGAGCCATGGTTAACCAATATACTTACAGGTCTATGTAAACTAGATATAAATTTAACCTCAAAGTGAAAAGTGGAAATATTTGTATATTACTTATTCCTACACCTTTATAAATGTCTTCCCTTATTAAAAAAAAAAATGGTACTTACTGCTGAGGAAGGATGAATGTGAACTGGGCTTCCACGCCCATCCATTGTGCAAAATGTTCTCCCAACAGATCTATAAAGAGGAAAACCAAATTGCAAAGACCAAAACAGTAAAGCAGTGAAATAAGTAGAACATTAAGCCCAACAATTAACAATTAACAGGGGCCTGTAGTGTTGCTCAAGTGGTAGACCACCTACTTGGCAAGTGCAAGGCCCTGAGTTCAAACTCCAGTATGGCCAAAGAAAAGAACAATTTACAATATGTTCTACAACTGTATGTGCACAATAAAGAAGTTTACTTTGTTTTTGTTTTTTTTTTTTTGGAAGACAATCACTTCAGTCTAAGTAATTCACAAACGATAGTATCACAACGATAGTATCAAGAAGGCCACACAAACACTTGTCCATCCTCAAATTCAACATAGTAAGAACACCCTCTTACATTTCATTTTGAAGCAAGAAAGCTATAAATAATACAGAAGAGATATAACTGGTGGTTTATACTTCATATTTTTAATTAATATTTTCATGCTAGAGGAACTTAGTCATGAGAGCCAATTTTCCATTTCTTCAATTTGAACTTCTTGATTATACTAATCCATTTGCAAGTCTGCACTGTTTCAGTCCATCACTGAAATTCTCACAGAGCTTAACATCACTCTGGTTTTGAGCACACTATAAAAATGCTGTTTCATAACAGCAAGGACCAAATTGCTGCTGCTGTGCTGGCTAGATTCCCAGAGGCTACTGGTAGTGATGTCAGGCCTTTAGGGATTGAGAATTACTTCCTCTGTGGAAGCCCCCAATGATGGCATGATCCAGCACATGACCCAAAGTAGAGCCCACAGCCATACCAGCTGCAAATGAGCCAACTGCAGATGTGGGGTCCCTATTGGCAGCTAAGCATCTGCTGATAGCCTGGGTACAGCTCTCATCTAAGGTGCCTGGTTGGCAGAAGAGGCCACATGGGAGAGTGCAGCTTTAGCTTCTAAGTCCACACCACCTGGGTGTCTAGAAGTACCAAATTTGGCCCAACAGTTTAAATTTATTCAACTGATGTTATAACCTCTCTACCAATTCATCTTAAACTAATGATACAAGTTAAACAGTCATTTCAATTAAGTATAAACATTTCTGGTCAATAAGAAGTAACATTAACAATAATATTATATTTGTGCTTTAGAGTCTCTAAAACAACCTATGACCTTTGAAAGTCAGGTACCTCATTAAAAGACCAAAACTGAGACTCGAATAAATTAACTAACATTCTCAAGAACACAGAACTAATGTCAATCCTAAACACCTGCTGACTTACACAGAGTACTCCTTTTTTTTTTTGCAGTACAGGGTTTGAACTCAGGGCTTCATGCTTGCTAGGCAGTAGTATACTCTTTATATTATATTATGCTACATTTCTGTTAAAAGGGATAAGAGATTTCACACTATTCTAAAATATGGTAATTAGAAAAAGCCCCTGTATTATTTTTCTAATTCATGTCCTTAACTTCAAATTCTTACCCTTTTCTACACTTCCCTGAATAAATGTCAAAAAAAAAAAAACTTGTCAAAATAGCTCTAGTTCAATTGTCATTCCAATTGATTTCCTATAGTACTTTAGATATATTCTTTTATGGTCTAGATCAGACTGCATTATAATGATTTGCTTATGTATCTGTACCCTCTGCTAGACTTAAGTTTCATCAAGAATAATGCCAGGACAGGCGCCAGTGGCTCACACCTGTAATCTTAGCTACTCACGAGAATCACAATTCAAAGCCAGCCAGGCACATAGTTTGCAAGACCCTATTTCAAAACACCTATCACAAAAAAGGGCTGGTGGAGTGGCTCAAGGTACAGGCCCTGAGTTCAAACCCCAGTACCAAAAAAAAAAAGAAAGAATTCCAGAACCCACATGCTATGCCACCTTTCTACCTTCTGTACCTGCCTAGTATTTGCACTCAGTAAGTAAGCAACACTACATTTTTAAGATCCTAAAATAATCCAAATTTATAGAAAAATGTGAAGTATAGCCAAAAAAAAAATCTTTTTTTACATGAACCACTGAGAATAAGTTGCAACCTGATGTCTCCATCATCCCCAAATACTTGAGTGTGCATTTCCTACAATCAAGGATATTATCTTCCTCCACAGCTGTGATACAACCATCAAAGCTAGAAAATTAATACTGATGCATTAATAACATCTACTCAGACTCCACTAAAATTTCACCAAATGTCCTAATAATATCCTTCAAAACAAAAGGATCCAGTTAAGAATCATGCCTTATCTTTACTTTTCATGTTCTTGTACCCTCCCCTCATTCTAGAATACTTCCTTAGTCTGTTTTTTGACTTTCATGATGGTTTCGCTACTCTCAGTCACTCTCAGAGCTAGAGTATGTATGTGCATAAATATTTACATACAAACAAATACATATATGTACACAAAAAGTAACATCTATTTATTCCCAAATCTATCCACCCATCCATCATGTACCATAACTTCATAATGATACCTTGAAATTCCAATCAAACACAAAAATCACTCTCATTTTCTCAATTTATTTCTAACTCCCTTCACCATTATCCTCTATATAAAATGAATTTCCCATTACCAATATAATCTCTTCCTTACCAAGGAGGCCCTCATAACACTCAGACCTTGACACTCCACACCAAACAACACTGCCCCACTGCATATGAGCTCCATGTCAAGCTACTCTTCTTCTAGAATGCCATCCTGAATCTGTTTGGCTCTCATATGCCACATGAGGCCACCAATCTACAAGAAATTCTGTCACTTGCCTTAAGTGCCCTTACTGGATAGACAGCTACCCTACATATACTCTTCTGCTCTGCCTGAGCTCCAACATCCCATCCATTCTGGGTCACTGCAGCTATCCTCTGCACAAGTGACAATTACAAAAAGGTTCATCATAATTGATACCATCATCATCATCACTGATTTCAAATCAAACCTTCAATCTTTAATATTAAATGAGTCAGTATTATAGTCAAATAGAGTAGTATTTCTAATCTATCCCTTAAGCTCATACAGCTTACCTTCGAGCTACATTTTTGAAGTAGCCTGCACAAAGGCATCTTCGTAGTACTTCGTGTTTAGGGCCTTCAAAAGTCTCTCTTGGGAAGTCACTTTGCTGAAGAAAGAATAAATATTCAGTGGTAAATCTCACAGTACAATTTGAAAAAATCTTTTATTTTTAAAAATTCACATTTCTAAAGACTTCTGTTTCTGGCCAATATGGTACAAGAAGGATAAGATTAACCCTTACACTTAATCAAAAGACAGACAAAATATATGAAATAATGACTTCTAAAATACTATATATCAAGCAACAAAGCACAGTGACTCTGAGAGACAAGAAATGAAGTAAGCACAATGGCCCCAGCCTACAGTCTTCAGAGAGATTTCAAACCAAGGCACAAAAAAAAAAAACAAAACAAAAAAGAGTTCAGGGGAGAAGACAGCTACACAGAGAGAACTCCAAAGATCTACAGGTCCTCAAATGTTCAGCTCAGTACTGATTAGAACATGAATGCAAGGAAACTATCAGCCCAGGAAAAGAACCTCCCAAAAGAATAAGAAGAAACAGACTAGAAATTGTGCCTATTCCTATAAATTGGACTAGAATACCTCAGAAGACATATGGTTTGGGGTAGCATATTCAAAAGTGTCTTTCCTCTAGAAGAGGGAAGTTATTCCTCTGGTGGGAATAACTAGCTCTAGACTGAGCACTGCTGTGATCCTACATAACAAATCTTATAAACAAGACCCAAAAGGATTGTTTCCAAGTAAATGTAATACAAAAGTATTCAGTACCCAGCAAAATAAAATACACATGACCTGGCATCCATTCAAAAACTACCAAGTATGTAAAACAGTAGGAAAATAAAACCCATAAGGAATCCACAAATCAATCCAGAAGTGACAAAGATATTAACTATGTATATTATAACTGGATTATATATGTTCAAAAAATATAGTGCTATTGGCATAGGTAGAGTGCTTACCTAGCATGTGTGGGGCCCTGGGTTCAATCTCTAGCACCACACACCAAAGGAAAAAAAAAAAAGTTTAAGTAGAGACCTACAAAACAACTTTTTTATTTTTAAGACCCAAATCAAACATCTAGAGATGAAAATACAATGGATGGGATTAATGTCAGATTAGACATTGTAGAAGAAAAAATTAGTGGATGTAAAGACAAAGCAAATACAAATATTAATTCAAAATGAAATAGCCAGGAGTGGTAGTACAAGTCTGTAATCCCAGCATGGCAAGAAGATCAAAAGTCTTGATCTTACAAGTGGAAAAGGGAAAGAGGAGTTACTATTTAATGCGTACAGACTTTCAGTAGGAGATGATAAAAAAAGTTCTGGAGACAGAAAGCAGTAAGGGTCACACAACATTGTAAAGGTCCTTAGTGCCACTATATACTTACAAATGATAAATTTTAAATTATATATATCTTACCACAATTTTAAAAAGCAGAATTAAAAATAAATTATGCTGAGTAAAAGAATCCCAACCAAAATACAGTACTTAGTACATGATTCCATTTACAGAAACTACTAGGAAATGCAAAGTTAGTTATAGTGAAAAAGGCAGATCAGTAGCTGCTTGGGTAAAGACAGCATAGTGGCCTGTGAGGTGAAATGGATGGATTACAAAAGGGTGTTAGGAAATTTTGGGAGGTAAGTATATTCTTTATCTTGATTGTTGTGATGGTTTCATAGATTTACACAGATTCAAAACTCATTCAATCGTACACTTTAAAATGGTGCAGTTTATCACATGCCAATTATATCTCAGTAAAGCTATTTTAAAATATTGCCAGCTGCATGCTGGAGACTCATGCCTGAAATACTAGCTATGTGGGAGGCTGAGATCAGGAGGATGGAAGCTCAAGGCCAGCCCAGGCACACTGAGACCCATCTCCAAAATAACCACAGCAAAAAGGACTGGAGGTGTGGCTCAAGTAGAAAAGCGCCTGCTTTGCAAACATGCAGCTGTGATTTCAAACCCCAGTCTCACCAAAAACAAACAAAAATCTCATTTCTACAGGTAAATTTCTTTCTTACTGCTAGGAATTGTTCATGGCGTCAGGGAGATGGCTATATGTAGAAGCAAGCAGAAAAGGAGGGTGGTAGACTAGAAAGGGTGGCAAGAAGTAACTATACATAGTGAAAAATCAATATGATATATATAGGCCTAAAATGCTACTCAAGAAAAAGAAAAAAAAAAAACATGATAGCAGTCACCTGCTTAAGCTTCCTGATTAGTTCTCGAAGCTGAGCTTCTACACGAAATGCAGAAAATAAGCACCTCCAATGAATCCAATGTTTTTGGCACCATGAAGCTGGAGCTCCACTACAAAACAAAAATATTGGTGTCTTGAAAACATGCTCTATGAATGAAAGACAACATTCTCAATTTCTATCACAAAAGTGGAAACCCATAAACAACAATTAGCTTTTTTATAAGACCTAAGTAATAAACACGTTAGGAAATTTGAAAAAACAAATTATTGCTAGATCCTTTGACTAAATTAAAAATAGGCTTCTGTTTACACTCATTAACAAATATCTAATCATTTTCTCACCTAAATTATCTACATAGAAGCAAAATTCTAAAAGATCATTTTCAGGAAGGGTTTAAAGAGAGAACAAAGAAAATTAACATATGCCTAACAGTCACATAATCTCACTGATGTGCAAAATACCTTGAGGTCAATGTCATCCCCACTGAACCTTAGTGTCTGAAGTCACATAAGTAAGTGCACACTGGAGTTACGTATCAAACTGACATTTTCCAGTGCAAAGGATCACCTCACACACCTTGATTTGCACTGTTCAAAGATGACAGCTAAAGTAGCAAAGTCATTAAATCCTCCAGCTTTAGCTGCTAATTCCCGATGCCTCTGTTCTGCTTCCTTCTGGTACTCTGGATCAACTAAAAGGAGAATCAGAGAGGCAATTTAAATCTACTTTACATCTACTTTGCTTACTACATTCACTTTGCTTGTTTTTTCAAGTTCATCAAAATCTGCCTTACCCTCCGTGGAGTATAATAAGGTAGAACTATATTAGCTCTTCTTGGGGGAATCTAATTTCTTCCTCAATTCCTGCTTCTTTTTTTTTAGTTTGTTTGTTTGGATGGTTGGTTGACTTTTTTAAGGGGGAGAGGAAGAGGGCAGCGTTTAAGACTCTACGGTCCTCCTGCCTCAGTCTCCAGAGTGCTGAAAGTACATGTGTACACCACTTCTCTTCTTTTAACACACTTCCACAAATTTTACCAAACAGCAACATTATTTCTTCCAATCCATTTGCCTTTAAAATAGTATTTGGAATTTAGTTTTTAAAACAGTGTCTATTATAATAGTAACCTTTTTACCATGGTTATGGTAAAAAAAAAAAAAAAGATGTAATGCAAAAATGTACCCAGGTTGTCACATCCACAAACCAATCCTTAATTGTTAATTATAGACTGTCCCCAATCAGTTTAGGATCTTCTGGTGTGAAAGCAATATATATTCAGTAGAAACTGTATGTGAATTTTGAATTTTCATCTTTTCCCAACATGAAGCATGATACTCCTTTGTGATTCTGGCAGAGTCAGGAGACAAACTCCCAATTATCCATGCAACCATAAGGGTAAACAATGGACAATCTATAGTGCACTGCCTTATAAGCTATGCTCAGTAGGTTACGTGTTTTAAATACATATTTGACCCAAGATGTGTTTTCAACTTCACAAACACATATAAATGGCTAATAAACACATGAAAAAGCATGCAATATTATTATCCATCAGGAAAATGCAAATTTACAAAGAAATACATAATTGAGTATACAAAATGAAAATGATTGGCAGTACAAAATGCTGAGGACATGTGCAAAATGCACTCATGAACACTGTTGGTGAGATATTTAAAATGGTACAACTAATTTGGCAAAAGGTTTAACGGTTTCTTAAATATACACCTACTCAAAAGCACAGCAATTTCTTTCCTAGATATTTTACTTAAGAAAAATAAAAATATACAGAAGATTAACACAAAAATTTAACTCAAATAGCAGTAAACAAGAAACAATTCAAATGTCCATAAATAGAATAATGCATAAGTCAATTATAGCACCAAGGGAACTTTCTGGGTTGATAAAAATATGCTTTATTTTGGCAGGGATGTGGGTTATATGCATGTATCCATTTCACAAAAATCACTGAGTTACACATCTAATATTTATGCATTTCACTATATATAAATTTTGCCTTAAAAACTGTAAACAGTTGGGCTGGCAGAGTGGTTCAAGTAGTAAGAACATGTGTCTAGCAGGTACAAGGCCCTGAGTTCAAACCCCAGTATCATCCCCCTAAAAAAATCATAAACAATTATTGAACTCTAGTTGTAAGGGTTGCCTTTCAGTGATACCTTTCACAGTGGATTAGAAAACAGTATTGTTATTAATGTTAAATTTCCTAATTTTGATAAATGTACTATGGCTAAATAAGAGATTGCTCTTGTTCTCAGTAAATATATGTGTAAATATTTTGTGGTAAATGAGCACAGTGTTTCCAATTTATTCTTAAATGACTCCAAAAAGGAAAAAAATACATAGATACACATAGAGACAGGGAGAGAGGGGGTGACAAGGGAAAGGGAGGGAAGCAGAGAGAGAGAGAAGCAGAGAGAGAGAGGGGGTAGAGAGAGGGGGCAAGGAAGGGAGAATCAAAGAGAGCAAAATGTTAAAAATTGCTGAAACTGGACTGAAGGTATGAGAGTTTCTTTACCATTCTTGCAGTATTTCTGTACAAGTTCAAAATTATATTAAAAATAAAATGTTACAAAAAAAAAAACCTGTCCCAGCTACTTGGGAGGTTGAGGTGGGAAAATCACTTTAAACCCAAGAATTCAAGACCACCCTGGGAATCATCTAAGACTCAAAAAGGAAAAACTAATACTAGATGGGATTTATCTATTTAAATTTTCCAAAAATCTGTATATTTTCTTTTTCTAGCCTTATCTATTTGTGATCCAATATCCTGGTTTTACAAATGAAAAAAAAAATGAAGTCCTAAAAGCTAGGCCCATAGATGCAACTGGGTATTTTAATAGAAAGAAATTTCTGACACTTAAGACTGCAATCTATTTGGAGTAGGGAGTGCAGAGATTAAATTACAGAATATTTTTATAGAAAAATGTATCCTCTATTGTAATTATGGCAATGATAAACCACTCTGGACCCAATACTCAAAACCTACAAAGGAATTACACCATTGAGATAGCACACTCCATTCCTAATCTTGGCTGAAACAAGGTATAGTGCCTACTCAGAAACTCCTTAGGCAGGGGTTAGGAATCACTCCACTAGGTGAAGGCAAAGCTGACATGTGTCAAATTAAGTTGTGTCCCATACTGACACACCACAAAAGGAGGAAAGGAAAAGTTTAAAGACATGAAAACTGCAAAAGAATACTGCAATGATATAAGAGCTGAACTAACTTTTCTCTTGATTCTAGAAAGATAAAAAACAAAGGTTAATATATTACTTATGTATCATAAAAGGACAAGGTTCACCTTTTTATCTTCCTTTACCAGTGAAAGGAAATTAACTTTCAGCCAGGAACATTACATACTACCTATGCCAAATAACTAAGTTAAAGGATAACAAATTATAAAAATGATTTATTCTTAATTTCCTTCCCCATGGCTATGTAGTAAACCTTCAACAAATGCTAGAAACCTAAGTAAATGAAGACCTACTGCATGTACAGGGGTAGGAAGACTCCATACTGTTAATGTCAGTTCTTCCCAGCTTGATCTATTAGATTCAACACAACCCCCACAAGTTATTTTGTTGATTTCAACAAACTGGTTCTACAGTTTATATGGAAAAAGATCCAGAATTGTCAAAACGGTGCTAAAAGGAAAGAACAGTCAGAGAATTAACCCTACCTAATGTTGCAATAATCAAGACAGTATGGTGTTGGTGGGAGAGTAGACAAGTAGATTAATGTAACAGAATACACAGCCGAGAATAAGACCCACATCAATACAGTCAACTCATCTGTGACACAGAAGCAAAGGCATTTCAATAGAGAAAGGACAGAATTTTGAACAAATGGCACCTGAACAATTGGACAGGCAACTACTATAAGACAACATAAAAGAAAATTTAGATGACCATGTGTATGCCAGTGACTTTCTACATATAACACTAAAGGAATGAATCATGAAAGAAATAACTAATAAGCTGGACTTCATCAAAATTAAAAACTTCTCTAGTAGCTCACCCTATTATCCCAGCCACTCAGGAGGCAGAGATCTGCAGGATCATTGTTCAAGGCAAGCCTAGGCAAAAAGTTAGTGAGACCCCATCTCAACAAACACATTGGGCATGGTGTTCATTTTTGTAATCCCAGCCATGGAAGAGACAAAGATAGGATGGCTGCATTCTGAGGCTGGCCCCTGGCAAAAATGCAAGACCCTACCTGAAAAATAACTAAAGCAAAATGAGGCTGAAGGCATGGCTCCAGTGGGAAAATGCTTGCCTAAAAAGCACAAGGCTCTGAGTTCAAACTCTCAGTACTACAAAAAAAAAAAAAAGAGAGAGAAAGCTATGTCCACACAAAAACCTACACAGATATTTACTGCAGTTTCATTCATAATAGCCAAAAAATAAAAAAGTGAATGACAAGCTGGAGACATGGCTCAAGTGGTAGAGTGCCTGCCTAGCAAGCATGAAGCCCTGCATTCAAGCCCCAGTGCTGCCAACAAAAAAAAAGAAAATGACATGTCCTTCAATAGGTGAATGGAGCCAGGAGCCGATGGCTCACGCTTGTAATCCTAGCTATTCAAGAGGCAGAGATCAGGAAGGTCATGGTTCCAAGCCAGTCCAGGAAAATAGTTCACAAGACCCTATCTCAAAAATACCCAACACATACACACACAAAAGAGGGCTGGCAGATGGCTCAAGTGGTAGACTGCCTGCCTAGCAAGTGTGAAGAAGAAGAAAAAGAGATAAATGGATAAATTCTTCACAATGAAATAATATTCATTGATTTAAAAGAAATGAGCTATCATGGGATAAAAAGGCATGGAGGAATCTTAAATGCATATTGCTATGAGAAAGAAGCTAATCTGAAAAGCTTACATTGTCTATGATCCCAGTTATGGCATTCTGGAAAAGACCAAACTGTGGAGAAGTCAAAAGATCTGTTGCCTAGGGTTTGTAGGAAGGGCTGTAGGGATAAGTGGAGCACAGGGGCTGTTTGAGGCAATGAAACTATTCTGTATGATTCTGCAATGGCAGATACATGTCACTAAACATTTGCCAAGACCTATAGAACATACAACACAATGAGTGATCCCTTTAGTTAATAATAATATATCAATATTAGCTCATCACCTGTAACCATTATACCAGAAAAATGAAAGATGTTAATAATAGGGGAACTGTGCCTTTGGGGACCTGAGGAGATAAATGTGAACTTCTATAATTTCTGCTCACTTTTCTGTAAACCTAAAACTGCTCTAAAATACAGAATTTTTTTATTTGGCATGTGTGTGTGTGTGTATGTGTGTGTGTGATGACACAGGGTCTTGCTATATAGCCCAAGCAGGCCTTGAACTCACAATCCTCCTGGGTTCACTTCCCAAGTGCTAGGATTACAGGCCTATGCCACCATGCTTGATAATTAAATTTTAAAAAGGAGAAGAACCTTATTAATAAACTTCTTACCAGGTCTAATGAAGACATTTTCCACAGACAACATTGCTGCTATGGGAAGGAGTAAATCTTCACAATCAAGAGAAGCAGCCTTGATTACTGCACATGTCAGATGTGGAGGGAGAGGAAACTCCACCATAGATAAACCCAGTCTTGTCACATGGCCACTCCTTAATAGAAAGAAAAAGTTTTTAGGTCTTTCTATGTTGGGAGCATACATATATAATGTTCATCTAGAATAAATTAGATACAATTTGAGTTAAGATACCTTAAATCACCTCCAGAAATTCAATTTAAGGAAATAAAACACTGTGGTCATTGACTGACAAGAGGAACAGAAAGATAAAAATTCTCTATTGTCAAAAGCTCTAATACATCTAAAAAAAACTAAACAGATGAGGCAGAAGACACTAATGTAATAAATACAAACATACTACAGAAGCACAGAGGATGTCTTGAGGAAATAAGAGAATGATAATCAATCCTTCCTCCATCACACAACCATGAGAACAAAGGTTCTGTTCCATTCCTCATTTTTATGTGCTCAACATAATGTGTGATACTGAAACGGTGTTTAGAAGTTACTTAATAAATAAAACCAGTATTAAACAAAAATGGTTTTTGGGGGTAGGGCTTAGAGATTTGTTTTGCTTTGTTTTTGAGACAGGGTCTGACTATGCAACCCAGGCTGGCCTCGGGATACTCTTGCCTCTGCCTCCAATGTTGGGATTACAAACATGTACCACCATACTCAGCTAAAAAAAGTTTCACAGGAGATTTTAAATAAGAACTGTGTAGCGCCGCCTCACTAGCGGTAGAGCATGAGACTCTTAAATCAGAACTGTGATGAAGAAAGACTGAGCACAAATTTCCATCTCATTTCATATTGAAACAAATCATTTTCTACTGGGAAAAAAGGTATTTGGAGCCCTGTTATAAAGGGATCAACAACCTGTTTTGGTTGTTTTATTTTTTACCTGTCAATAGCATCACACTGGTAAAGTTGCTTAAGAGCTTCCAAAATCAGTCTCTCATTAGGTGGATCCAAGTAGGGAAACCTGTGTGTAAATGAGATATGAAATGAGAGGCTGTTCTTTGAACACAGCAGGCTTTTATAGATTTGAAGATACCTTTAAAAAGCTGTATTTCTCTATTTTTCAAGTCCTCCTCTTCTGTTTTTGGTTTGTTGTTTTTGTTTTTGTTTTTCTTTTTTTTGAAAAACCATTTTATGATCATGATCAGCATTCAGCAAAAGAAGAAACTTTTTTTCTGAAGCACATTCCACTCATTCAAGATCCACTTCTTTTTTATTTCCTTGGCTGGAACACTCTCACCTTACTCTTGACTTATCTTAAATCCTTCTGCATCCTCACAACCAAAGTCATCTTTCTCCTGCAGTTCACAACTTTTTTTTTTTTTTTTTTGGTACTGGGGTTTGAACTCAGGGCGTACACCACCCCTTTTTTGTGACAGGTTTTTTCAAGACAGAGTCTTTCAAACTATTTGCTGGGCTGGTTTCAAACCACAATAATCCTGATCTCTACATCCTGAGTAGCTAGGATTACAGGCATGTGCCACTGGCACCCAACACTTCACAACTTTTTAAAAACTGAGATTTTATAAAACAGGAGAAAAATTGCAAGTGGCTGAAAATTACAATTTAGTACCTCAAAATGCTTTTCTAACTTTTTTTTTTCTTTGATAGGACTAGAGTTTGAATTCAGGGCTTCACACTTGCAAAGCAGATACTCTACCACTTGAGCCACACCTTGAGCCCTCAAAATGCTTTTCTAAAAAACTAAAAGTATATTCAACTAATTCTGCCACATTTGTTTTTTGTTTATGTATTGTATGACCTACTGAACTATCTGAACACAAGCTGCACATACAAACCCACTTCACTCCAAAATACTTCAGCATCCATCTCCTGAAAACAAGAACCGTCTCTTACATTACCACAATACCACTAATGAACATAACAAAATTAACCAAAAAATTAACAATATTCACAAAGGCTACCAAAATAGCATATAACCTAGCATGAGTATACGTGTGTTTAATATGAATGCTAATTACTTAGTATCTCAGCAATGGGTTATTTTTTTCCACCTGAAATCTTGAGATGAAAATTCATCTACTCAAATTTCTCACCTCAACAAAGGTCTAATAAGGGACAGAAGTCCATTGCAGAGCTGAGAGCTCTATTTAAAAAATAATAACAACAAACTAGACGTGGTGAGACATACCTGTAATCCCTGCAGACTCTATCTTGCTAAGTTTTTTAAACAGGACTGGGATGTAGCTCAGTTGTAGAGGACTTGCCTAGCATGTGTGAGGCCCTGGTTAATTCCTCAGTACTGAGGCAGAAAAATGAGGCTGTATTACCTTCCTGAAATAAAATACATAAAAAAAAAAAATCTCATAGATTATTCTACTGTTAGCTTTCCTACAATTTGTACCAACAAGACAGCAAGAGGCAGCAAACACTGGGATGTAGCTTAGTGGCAGAGCCTTTGCCTAGTATGTTCAAGGCTCTGGGCTTGACTGACAACACCACCAATTTAACAAAAAAAAAAAAGAGTCAGCAAACATTTTCTGTAAAGGGCCAGACAAATTGTTCAAGATTATAGATGATATGATTTCTGTCATAATTATTCAACCCTGCTGTTGTAGTAGAAGCAGCCATTCAAAAAAGAATGGTCATAGCTGTGTTTAAAATTTTATTTATGAAAACAGTGATACTGGACCATAGCTTGTGACACTTCAGCTGTAGCAATATCAAATAAGTCAGTTTCTTCTTCTATGTAATAATAAAGCTGCAATTACTTTTATCTCTTGATTCCACAAATTACCAATTCTGTTGAATACTCCTTATAAATTCTTGGTTTCTAAGAGATCCACTAAACCTAATTACTATCCTCTAAACACCTTAGTTTTGTCAAGCTCTTCACAAAATGTGATGATATCCAAGACTGAACTCCATATACTGAGTAGTTATAATCCCCTATCATCTAGACACTACAGTTTATTAATATTATCAGTCTAATGCCAGTTGGGTTTCTTGTTTTTTTTAAACAAAATCATAACTGCAAGCTCATATTAAGTTTGTGATGATTTGATAATTTCAGATCTTTCCACATGAATTTCCTTATTGTGCATCTAAAACACAAGATATAAAATGCTTATGTATCCTTTCAGATTCATGCCTTATTTTTTCATATTAGAAAATTTATTATTAATTTACTAAAGAAACAAATTGTATGCTTTAATTCAATAAAGGTAGAAAAATTATTGAATAAACTTTAATTTCTATTTATTTTTAACACGTTTATTAGTAAAAGATACGTATACAGGGGGTATTCATGATTTATGCCTTATTGATTTTTGACCAAAATTCTGCCATACTGATATCATTCTAAAACTTGATTTAATTACCTACCAATTAGGCAATAAGATGTTTACCAGAAATCTGATCATCATCTCTTCAATATTTTATCCAATATCTTCAGTTAAAATGCTTATTAGGAGGGCTGAAGATGTAGCTCATAGGTAAGAGTACATACATGAGGCCCTGTATTCAATCCCCAGCAGGACAACAACAACAAAGTGCTTACCAGAAAAGAGACAAATCCAGCACACTACTACTAGTAAAGTCTCCATCTGCATTACACCAAAGAATTAATTGATACACTTTTTGGATTTGGCAACTATATTCTATTTAGCAAAGTTGTTATCTATAGATTACTTCCTTATTCACAACGATATCAAATGCAATCTTGTTTAAAAACTGTACTAAAAACAAAAGACATTAGGTTATCATTCAAGAAATTATTGTGGAGCAGCCACTATATGATATTGTATCAGTGATCCTGTGCACAAAATGAAGAGGAAATGCTTTATAACGATACACACTTTGTGAGCTATTTTGTTTCACACTGATAATTATAAGTCACTATGAAATTCTCTTAAACCCTTTTTTTTTTTTTTTTGGTGGGGTTTGAACTCAGACCTTCTCGCTTGAAAAGCAGGCACTCTACCACTTGAGCTACACCTCCAGTCCTCTTAAACCACTTTTCAATAAACTTTACAAGAATTTGCTAGGCATCAATGTCAAGCTCGCTGAGCAGTTGGTTCTATAACATGTCCTGTTTCCTAAATGAAAAAAATCAAATCATATACCTCTTCATAACCTCCTGGCAACATATTTTGCATATTTTCTAACAGATGACCAACAATGGTGTTGGCATTAAATCTTCAAGTTCTTTAAGTAACATGAAAATAGCATGTAAATCAACAAGATAATTTCATTTGTGGTTATTTGAGGTTTTTTTTCTTCCTCATTATTTCCAAGTCATCTTTTTTCTTTTCTTTTTTTTGAGACAAGAGCCCCACTATATAGCCCAGACTAGCCTCAAACTCTTTAGCTACCTTCCTTAGTCTCCCAAGTGCTGGGATTATCAGTGTACACCATCATGCCTACCTTCCATCAATTCTTTCTTATCAGACTTCTTTTTGCCTTTCCAGTTTAAAATTTATTCATTAAAAAAAAATTAGCCAGGCATAGTGGTACACATTTGTAATCCTAGCACTCCAGAGATTGAGGCAGGAGAATCATGAACTCAAGGCCAGCATGGGCTACATCACAAGACCCTGTTTCAAAAAAAATGTTTTAATTTTTTAAAAAAAGAGAGTTAAGATGGAAAAATGACTCAGTGAAGAAAATAATAAAAAATTAACTAAAATTAGCTATTAATCCCTATTAACTCATCCCTGTTTTTCTAATTTATATTCGTTCTGATTACATACTGCTCTGCTCTCCTTTGGAAGCTTGTTTCCCCAATGCTAACTTAGTAAAAGTAAAAACTACCACAATATTATTACTCTGTCTTTTGTGATCTGTAGCACAATGCTGACCATACTAAAGGAGCCATAAAAAATACTACCTGATTGGAATAGAGTAAATTACATGCCTTTCATTACAAATGAATGGTGGTTACAAAGGTAGTCAAATAAACTTATCAGCAGAACGCCCCCTTTTAAGCCAAGGTTAAAACATGAGCAAGGGATCAAATACCCGTAAAGCAATGTAAGCAACTACTAGAATGTAAATTTGAAAAATGGAAAATTTGAAGGCAATCAGTATTATATAATATCATTTACTTCTGAGTTCCCAAATCTTTAAGTAGTTTCCAGGGTGATGAAAATTCAATCATGCTAATGGTTGTGTAACACTGTGAGTCTACTAAAAACAACCTGAATTGTATACTTTAAAATGGTGAATTTTATTTTGGGTGAATTAGCATTTTTGGTTTAACTGAAAAGCAAGCAATATGAAAACCAATCTTGAAAATAGGTTAGTCTCAATTTTCAGGGATGTATGAGTTAAATAGTACAAAATAATTTTTGAGGAATAACCTGGCTTCACCCTAATAAATTTTTCTTTTTTTTTTTTAAATCTGCCTACATACCTTATAACATCATGTATGGCAAGGCACTTTAAGGTCAGAACTACAGATGTCAAACTAGTTCTCTTAATCTCAGGGATCACATGATCAGGCATACACTGGTTCCAAAAATCTTTACTATAAATCCGAAAACATTTTCCTGAGGCAGTCCTGCCAGCTCGGCCACTTCGTTGTAATGCCTCACTCCTAGGAAAGAAAAACACAAGGTTGCCAAAGTGTGTTGTGGGTTTTCCAAGTAACTTACTTCCTATCCCCAAATCAACTAGAAATTGTATAATCAACTGTTTTTTGAACAAAAAGGTCTGACATAGAGACTTACTTTGAAATTGGAACCACTTCCAGGATGTCCAGCCCTAACCTGGGGTTATGATTTAACTGCTTCACAAAGCCACCGTCTACCACATACCTAAGGAGAATGAAACCAAGTTAAGTTTCTAGAAAATAAGAGACATGTTTATTTTTAACTACTTTGGGTTTTCAACTTTTCTACCACATTAACAACCACATACTACTTTTTTATTTAAGTATAAAACATGAAAGTCAAGAAATTGCTGATGAGAATGTAAAACCCTCATACATTGCTCATAGGAAGGCCAATAAAGAAAACATTCTGGTAGTTCTTCAAAAGTTAAAATAGAATTACCATATACGATCCAGCAATTCCATTCTAAAGTAAACCCAAAAGAAGTAAGTATAGAATAAAGGCAATGAAAAAAAGAAGTAAAGAAATATTTGTAGATGTACATACCAGCAATATTAACAACACTCAAAAGGTAAAAATCTACCTATATGTTCCTTAAACACTGACAGATGAATGGATGAATAAACTGAGGTAGATATACAATGGAATATTATTTGACAAAAGAAAAGAATGAAGCATTGACACAAGCTACAAGATGGATAAACCTCTAAAACATTATGCTAAGTGAAAGAAACCAGACATAAAAAGTTTCATATTGCGTAATTCCAATTACATGAAATATCCAGAAAAAGAAATACACAGAAACAAAAACCAGACTGGTGGTTATCAGGGGTTGGGGTGGAGAGGGAATGCAGGGTGCCTGCTTAAAGGGCATGGGGTTTTATTCTGGGGTGATGGAATGTTTTGGAACTAGACACAGGTTACACAATACTGCAAAAATGTACTAAATATCACTTTAATTGTTCACTTTTAAATGATTAATTTTACCTCAATAAAAAATTAAAGTTCAAAATGAGCTCTAAGCCACTCTGATAGGTTCAAAATCTAATTCTAAATAGCTGTTAACGTATCATTTTAAGCCAATTAAATAGAAAACAATTCAGGTAAAGAATTAAGTTTGGAATAGCAGGAAGTCTATCATTCACTAAAACAACATTCTGAATAAACATGCTATTTAATGTTTTTTGCCTATACTGGAGACAGAAAATTATAGAGATCAATTTACTCCAGAGAAATTATTTTTGTTATTTATTTAATTAGTTTTTTTTTTTTGAGACAGGGTCTTACTCTGTAGGCCAGACTGGCCTCTAACTTTCAATCCTCTTGCCTCAGCTTTCCAAGTCCTGGGATTACAGGTGTGTACCACCAGAACTCAGGATCTCATACTTGCTAAGCAGACACTCTCCACTTGAACCTATGCTCCCAGCCCTTTTTGCTTTAGTTATTTTTCAGATAGGGTCTTACATTTTTGCCCAGGGCCAGCCTCAGACTGCAATCCTCCAACATAGCTGAGATCTTACGTACATGCTACCAAGCCCAGCTAGTTGGATGAGTTGGGATCTCACTACTTTTTGCCTGTAATGGCTTTGAGTCAAGATCCTCCCAATCTCTGTCTCCCAAGTAGCTGGGATTATAGACATGCACTACCATACCCAGCCCTAGAAACCCATTATTTTTAAAGTGAAGGAGAAAAGTATAGGATATTAGACTTCTCAGATCTGAAATGATCTGTGATCATTTACGTAGAAGAAATATATAGTATCCTTGGATTCCTTTCCAGCCTTCCTGTGGCAGTCAGACTTAGCTAAGGACATAAAATACATTGAGTAAAAAATAAATTATCAAAAAGGGATGTGACTCAACAGTCTGAAAGAATCTTGCATTAGCTATTAGTTCACGGTTAAAATTTCCAAGTGATTCTCTAACTGTACTCAAAATTTGATGGCATCATTGACTATATCTAAAAGTAATAAGGGACCTGCATCATAGTTCAATTTCACAAAAAAGGTATGAAGTGAGAGGCACTACCTCCAAATACACATTAGATGAACAAAATTACCAAGTGAGGTTGCAAGGGAAAAGGGAAAATCAGGTCATCTAAGGTGTACACTAATAATGGTAGTACAGAAAAACAGAGTTGGCTAAAACCCATGAAGCATTACAGCTAATCTTAAATTTGGGGCGGGGGAGGCTTCAAGTTGTCAAGTAGTTAAAAGAGGTAAACAGTGTGTACACTCTATTTCCTCTTTAAAACAATCACAAACAAATGAAAGGTGAGGACAAGTTAAAATCATTAAGAAGTAGGTGACAGGGCCTTAGTGGAGAACACAGAGAAGCAAACTCAGTAATGTTTTATGATCAGCTAATTGGCTTCCTTGTTTAAGAGTTAAAACTTTCAAAAGTTGTACCTGATCCCATCTATTGTCAAAGATGTTGCAGAAATATTGGTGGATATTACACATTTTCTAATTCCAGGTGGAGGTGGCAAAAATATTCTCCTTTGTTGATCTAAAATACATGTAAAGAAAAAATAGTGGTTTACAACATGTCCTTGTCAAACTCATCCTTTGAAGAACTCATTTCTTTTCATTGAAAGTTAGGTTTTCACCTCTTTAATAACCTTGAATATAAAATATAATAGTAAAAAGTATTTCTTCTCATTGTTAAGATTTTTAAATTCATGGAATCACAGATCACTATTATTCAAAGCATCCCTACAGTAAAGTCCTTTATCTAGGTCAAGTTTAAGGATATGTATTGAACTGTAGACTTTTCTATTAAAAGGTACATATGTACACACACACACACACACACACACACATCACATGTTAGTGTATTCAGAGACTTTCTGAAGCTGATCCATGGACTCTAGACTAAAGACCTCTCTCTGCCTTAAAGATTGATTAGTTAGGCTGTTTCTCCTTTTGGGAGTGTCTGACTTCCTCTTAAAAGAAGTACCACCACACTCATTTCACTAATGAAGGGTTAGCCCCAGCAGCAATGCTTGTAGTATGGTAGCTTCCTCTTCTGGCTTCAGTTTATTGACCAGGAATGAATAATTCCCCTAAGCTGGACCCATCTGATTCTCTGATGAATTTGGAGTAAGGTTCAAGAGATGCTAAATTTGATTAGACTACAATAATGCAAAGAAGAAATATGAATTTGTGAACCACAGAAGTAACTAAAGTACATGGAGGACTGAGCTGCAGAGTGGCACAAGTGGTTTGAGTGCCTGCCTAGCAAGTGTGAGGCCCTGAGTTCAAACCTTAGTACCACCAAAAAAATTGAAAAAAAAAAGATTATTTAAAATACATGGAAGAGAGAAAGCCTAAACAGAGAAAAAAAAATGAACTAGTCATGAGTTGACAAGAAGGTATTTTTTAGGTTGCTGGCACTTCTCAAGCCTTAGAGGCATGACTAAAGTAAGGAGAAATGGATTTGGTCAGATTTGCACCCCTGCCAGGATAAGTAGCGAATAGGGCAAGAGAACTGGGAATGTTAGCAAAGAAATGACAGTAGGAGGGGAATGCAGCTAAGTGAAAGTTGGTAAAGTATAAGTCTGAATGCATTCTGAAAATGTTGGATTAGGACCAGTGAGTTGGCAGAAACAGAAAGAAAACATCAAAGAGAATATTTTCAAAATTGAAATTTCAGAAATGATGATAGTGACAAATTCTAGGATTTATGTATTTGAATGGGTAGCTGAGTTGAGATGAAGGAAAAGATCAAGAAACATCAAAGCAAGGGAACTGGGTAGATCACTTATATCAATCAATAATAACCAAAAATTTAAGAGTAGTCCTTCCAAAGAGAACACAAGCAAAACTACTATGACATGAAAAGAAATTCTTGCTATTTGTATTTATATTTCTCATGGCATCCTTTTAAATTTTTTAGTATATATTTACTATTATACATTAGTATAATTATAATTAGTATTATATTTAGTATAATTATATATTATATTTATTTAAATAAATATATTTATTTAACTTAGTTAAATATTTATTATACTTATATTATATACTGAGTACACATTTATATATAATGTATATTTATATATACTAAATATATATTTAGTATTATTATATATTATGCAATATATAATATTTAGTATAATTATATAATTAATATTATAATTCATATAATAGTACATTCATATATTTTATAAAGAAATCTTTTGTAGCCAGACTCCGGTGGCTCATACCTATAATCCTAGCTATTCAGAAAACAAAGATCAGGAGGATCTCAGTTTGAAGCCAGACCAGGCAAATAGTTCACAAGACCCTATCTCGAAAAAACCCATCACAAAAAAAGGGCTAGTGGAGTGGCTCAAGGCATAGATCCTGAGTTCAAACCCCAATCTGAGGAAAAAAAAAAATCTTTTGTAAATACCTGAATCATTTGATTTCCATAAGATCAGCAGCCGAGAAAATCTTACAGGGGGGCTAGAGACATGGCCCAAGTGGTAGAATACTTGCCTAACATGTGCAAGTCCTGGGTTTAATCACAATACCACAAAAAGAGAAAGTGAAAGGGAAAAAAAAAAGAAAATCTTAAAAATATACAACAGAAAACTGTTTCCAAATAAAATCTTACAAAAATTCATGTACTTACAATAGGAAAAAAACAAACCAATGCTGAACTATTAAGAAGAGAGAAAAGGACTAGGACACATGAACACACTTTTAAAACTATGAAACGAGGCCAATCACCTCGCTTTTTTTCTTTTTTGAGGGGAAATAGGGTTTGAACTCAGGGTCTCACACTTGCTACAACTTGAGTCATACCTCCAGCCAACAACTACCTCATTCTTAAAATTGTTTATTTATTTATATTTATTTATTTTGCAGTATTGGGCTTAAACTCTGGGATTTTTTTTTTCCAAGACAGGGTCTCATGAACTATTTGCCACCGGCACCTTGCTCAACCACCTCATTTTATAACAGAGAAAACGAAAGCCCTGGGAGGTCAAGAGGCTGCTCTAAGATTTACATATTACTAGGCTTATTTAAAATAGTTACATAATGTTGCTATTCTTCCACATCATTCCAAAATTAATTTCTCAAGTAAAAAAGTGCTATGAAAGTGACATAGTTATGGGGAGAAGGGGCATGTATCAGATGCCTATATTAGCAGCTACAAGGAGGCTGTGGAGAAAGATCTCTTAAGGCCAAGAGTTCAAAGCCAGCCTGGGCAACATTTTTAAAAAAATGTATCTGCAGAGAAGTTTTTATGCAAATCTAAAAATAATACCAAAGAACCTATTTCTTCAAGATTTGATGGAAAGCATTAAGTGTTAATTTTTTTTTAGGTATTTCTTTTACTTAGGTATCTTATTTCTTCTAGATGATTTACATAAATAATGTATTACTTTATAGTTCAAATTACATTTATACTTTTATTATCTATATACTACAGCATATCTACATGAGGACAAAGGCTTTATTTTATTTAAGGCATACCCTCAGTACCTAGATTAATGTCTGGAAATGACTGTTGAATGAACTGATGAATTAGAAATGCATTAAATAAGCTGGGTGCAGTAGCTCATGCCTGTAATCCTAGCAACTCAGGAGGCAGAGATCAGGAGGATCATAGTTTGAAGCCAGCCTGAGCAAATAGTTCATGAGATCCTATCTTGAAAAAACCCATCTCATAAAAGGGTTGGCAGAGTGGCTCAAGGTATAGGCCCTGAGTCCAAGCCCCAGTACCACACACACACATACACACACACACACACACACACACACACACACACACACACACTGCATTAAATAAATAAGAATTAAGATCCTTCTGCCATTAAAATTCTATTTTACCCTAAAATTTTACGTAAATTAGAAATGCCCTTTCTTCTTTTTTTTTTTTGATGGGATTGGGGTTTGAACTCAGGGTTTCATGCTTGCAAAGCAGGCACTCTGCTGTTTGTGCCACACTTTTAGTCCCCATTTCGCGCTGTTATTTTGGAGATGGGAGTCTCATCAACTATTTGCCCAGGCTGGTCTCAAACCTCGGTCCTCCCAATCTCAGCCTCCCAAGTACCTAGGATTACAGGTGTGAGCCACCTCACCCAGTTAGAAATGTCCTTTCTAAGCCAGGCATGGTGGTACACACCTGTAATACCAGCAGGAGGATCCTGAGTTTGAGGTTAGCCTCAGCTACATTGTAAGTGCCAGACCAGCCTAGGATAAACAGCAGCACCTGTGTATCCTTCTATATGTATGTACATACACAAAAAGATGTCTAAATGTTTTTCCTGTGTTAAAGATAGCTATTCCTGGATAGAATAATTTGAAGTAAAATCTTTACTTTTACCCCTATAATTATGTACATTCCTTGTTTATAATAAAGCAGGGGAGAGTGGGAAATAAATTTTTTGTACTTTTCTATACTTTAAAAAATTTTGCAAAGATAAAAAAGAAAAATATAAAATAGCATACATATGTAGTTCCATTTTTGTTTTAAAAAAATAAAAATACATTTTTCTATATAAATAAGCTCAAGAAAATATATCCCAAAATGTTAGTAGTGATTATCATTTAGTTTATGTTGGTAGGATCTGGGTGATTTTTTAAAATTGTTTTCCTTATTTTGCAGAGTTTATCATACAAAATAATTCATAATTACTCACTATGTAATTCATAATTATAGATTTCTTTGATCAACAAAAGCAAAGTTTCTCATTTGGTGAGATTCCAATAGAGAGGTTTTTTTTTGTTTTGTTATTTATTTATTTATTTATTTTTGAGGAAGGCAGAGGCATTTATTCATCTTTTCTACTCCCCCCCGAGCAGGGAAGAAGATTTTATATGAAGCTCACTAGTATTACTCTCCCGCATCTTGCTCCTTTCCTTTTCTTTGCATGTTCTAGAAACAATGATATTATATCCTCCTGTACTAAATAAACAATCACTTACCAAATGCAGTTTTACCATGTGATCTCAGGAACACCACTTAGCCTCCATGTGTAAAATAAAGAAGTCTAATTATGCAAAAACATGGGTATATGTGATTTTTTTTCTAGGGGAAGAAGCCATTGTTTTCATAACCTTTTTAAAGGCATTTGAGATCCCCCAACTTTCCCAAAAGGCTAAGAAGCGCCAAATTAGATGTTTACCTTCAGTATTAAAATTCTCTAATTCTATACAAATATTTGTCATTTATAAAACAACTAGTATATTTCAGCTCATATAGTTTGTGAGGCTTAGCATTTCCCTACATGCATAATAATAGAAAATTCCAATAACTTCAACAAAAACAAGCAAGTTAGAAGAGAAAAAAGGTGCGATAGTAACAGGAATAAGGCTCTAGATAATAGTGTTTAAGGCATTAAAAGGAAATACTTAAGCATTAGGGCTTTTACAACATATTACACAGTATACTTGCCCTCAAGAAGTTCACAATTTCACAGAGGGGACAAGACAACTATGACACAAGGTAGAATGTGTTAAATGAGACAGAAGTACAGAAAAGCTCAAAGAAATTCAAAGGAGGAAGAGATCAAAGCCAGTTGAAAGAAGGAAGAGGTTTTTATGGAGTTGGCTATACTAGTGAAATGAAATAGCAGGATTTCAGCCAGTAAGAAAGGAGAGCAGTTCAGGTTAAAGAAATAGCAAACAAAGAATCACAAAAAGGATGATGGTGGAAAAGAAATAAACAACTCCTACATTGATAGAGCATTACTGGTGGCTATGGGTAATCCAACCCAGGGAGCCAGTTCATATAATTTTAGCAGAAGAGATTACACAGTACCTCTCTGAATTTGACAGATGAGAATTTTGGATTTGTATCTGGGATACATTTTAAGATGTCCCCTTAAAAAAGATATCCATCCTCATGACTAGCCTAGAACAAAAGGCAATTTACCTATTCACTAAACCCAGCTGTGGGTTATTAATGAACCCCTTTCTATAGGTAACAGGCAAGAAACCCTTCTTCCCCATCCTTACTCTCAATTGCAACTTTTATGTCCCAAAAGCATAATACAGGATAAAGGAAATAATGTTATTAAAAAAAAAATATCTCTAGCTGAGTGCCAGTGACTCAACCCTATAATCGTAGCTACTTGGGAGGCTGAGATTGCGAGGATCAAGGTTCAAGACCAGCCCGGGCAAATAATTTGCAAGACCCCATCACCAAAAAAACCAGAGCGAAATGGACTGGAGGTGTAGTTCAAATGGTAGAGCACCTGCTTTGCAAGCACAAAGCCTTGAATCCAAATCCCAGTCGCACAAAAAAAAAAAAAAAAAAAAGTAAATGCTGTGTTGAATTAAGCAGGGTAAAATGGAAAGCCTAAGATGCCAAGCACATACCATTCTCTCCCTATTTTGTCCAACTTCGCCTGACCATTACTTAGTACCTCATCAGCCCCATGTGAATGCCTCTTTGCACTATTATAAACTGCTACAATAATTACTATTCTGATCATAATGGATCACCAGCAGCTCACATTTGATAGTGCCCATGAAATCAAATGGGAAAATAAGATAAACAGAACTCTTCAGTAAAATCTCTACTCACATCTAGTCATACAACTTTACTATTTATACATATATACCAACACAAAAATTACCATACTTTGGGAAATGAAACTGAAAGCCAGCTGTAGTCATGCTGGAAGGATAATGAATGTCAGGTTATTAAGTTGACACTTTAATTCAGTTGGCAGTAGGGAATGGTTGAACATACCAGAGGACTGACAAACTAGAGCTAAGCTTTTGGAAGATTATGCTTATCCTTGCAGGGAGGGTGGTAAATTAAATCAGGGAAAATGAGTTAACACAGCATGTAAACAACTTGGGAAAGCAAACTGATGATCTCAACCCTAGCAATCAGTGAATAAAAGGAAGAAATTATTTGAATAAAACAATGATAAAAGAACAATTGTAGGAATTTCCACTTGCTCAGATTCAATGATCTGGAATGATATGATGCACAGACCAGAAAGCCCACTTAGGAAACCCAGCAGGTTTAGAGTGTAGGAGTGAAACTGACAGGTAAGTCCTAGAAGTCAACCTCTCCAAAACAGAAAATAGCAATATAAGGATGCTGGAGAAAGGAGGGGGTGATAAAAGCCTCAGAGAGAGTAGTCAGAAGAACCAAATAATTAAATATTATCCCAGAGGATAGCATTTCAAGAAGGATGCCACCCTGTTATTACAAAATCAAAATACAAATAAATGGAAAGAAAGTCAAGAGATTTGAAAAAAGAGAAGGTTGCTAGCAGCCATTAACAGTATAAAAATCATATTTTGGGAAGTTAAAAAAGAGGCAATAGCACATACAGAATATTATATTCAATGTGGCAATAAGAAAGACATTATTCACTTTACATAGAAAATGCATATATATATATATGCATTATATACACACATATATATATAAACATATATCTCCATACATATATATATACATATATATATATACACATGTGTATATATGTACATATATCTTTGTTATCCGTTAATAACAAAGCCACCATCAGGGGTTTTGAATTTACTAGTTGCAAAATCATTTATGAAAGAGTCCGAGGATCAAATCTCCAGAAACAATGAGATCCTTAAGTATCCAAAAGGACCCTAAGAATTCCCTTGAAGATGTAAAAATCTGAGATCTGTGTTTCAATATTGAGAGAAGGAACCTAATATCCTCAACAAAAGAGATTTCCAAACTAACACATGGGCCATGGTTCTTAACTGACACATACATTCCTGAACTTTTTTAAATATAAGAAAAAGACTCACCTATTCAACAAAAATGATAATATACACATAAAATATAAAAACACTTAAGTGTTAATCCAAATCAAACTCCAATAGGCTAAGGTTAACTTCCCTTTAGTTTCCATAATAAAAAATATTAAAAAAGCAATTCCAACTCTCATTCAACAATATTTATTATGAACAAATATCAAAACAACAGTTTGCACATGCTCTTTGAATTCACACACACAAAAAAATCCAATATGATTAATCTTAGGACTATCTGGATATATATGATTTCTAGAAATTCTGGAGCAATGGCAAATTAAGTTTAAATTATAGTACTACTTGTCAGAACTAACAATCCTCATTTCAAAGAAGCCTCACCAATAAGAGAGTATATAGCCCTTAATAACAAAGTTCTTGAAAATGTTGCTGTAAAAACACTTCAAGCTAAAATCACTTCACTCAAGGAAGGACAGCTCTCTTATTGTTCTGCTTTCTGATCTGGATTGTGATCTGGGTATAGTTACAAAAGTGAGATTAGTTTTTGAAATTTTTGACATAAACACTTAAGGTCTGTGTGCTTTCTGTATATATGTAATAATTCAGTAAAAAGTTTTCTAAAAATCAGTCATGTTGTCTATCCTAGTGAAGAATTACCTGTTGTCATAGATCCATAACATGGCAATATCAACAAGCCATCTAGAGTAGTATCCTGAACATCATAGTCATAATCAACAGACTCTGCCATTTGAAAAAGTAACTCACAACTTTTTTCTATTTCAAATTGGCCTGAAATGAGAAGGAAGAATAACTTCAGCAACTAAATAGTAAAATTAACTTAAGGATTAAAAAAAAGTCTACATTAAAATTAGTCTTGCCCAATAGTTATTTTAAATCATTCATTTGCGCTAAAGGAGACACAAGATGGATCAAATCTCAAAAAGAAAATTAAACATAGAAGAAATACCAATTTCCAAGACATTTAAATAAGGAATAAAAATGCTTATCATCCTCAAGTCTTTCATCTTGTTAACACAGAATTTGAGGAAGATTCACTATATTGCTCACACTAGGAAAGTTAGTCCAGGATATACTGAATTTAGGTATATTTCAAAATAAGTAAGCAACTTCCAAAAGACAAAGAGATTGCTGTAATATCTCACTTCTGACATTACCACAGGGCAAAACAGGAGATGAGCAATGAAATGACTCATTTCTGACAGTAGGATGCTAGTACTTAAAAAGTTTGGGATTTCAGTGTTCTATTTTTAACCTCCAAAAAACACCACAGTTTTGCTTATAACACATGAATTCCATACTTTATGTCCTATTATCACATAGAACCATCCCACCACTCAAAGAAGAAAGGAGCTGGGATGTCATTTAGTCAGGTTACAGCTCTTAGTAAAATAGACCAATAAAAATAATACTTCACATGTATTTACTAACAAACCTAGCCATATTATACACTTTTTGTCTAAAACAATTCAGATACACATAAAAGTTGAGAAGGGCAACAGTTGAGAAGAGACCATATATCCCAATAGAGGTAGCCCTCTGGTGCTACATTCCCTGCTTACTAGCAGGGAATACCAGCCAGGTGCAGCAGTGTACATCTTATCTGCTCTCCCAGCTCTTTGGGAGAATGAGGCAGGAGAACTGCTTGAGCCCAGGAGTTCAAGGGCAACAAAGCAGCACTCTGTCTCAAAAAGGAAAGAAAAAAAAAACAAAACTAAAGAAACAAAAACAAAACTAAAGGACAAAGACAAAACACACTCAGAAAGACATTTTTAAAACCTAGTACAAATGCTTACCAGTCAGAAAAACCAAGATGTCTCCAGCCATTTCATTCAAATGGATATCCATGGTCACTTTCACAATCTAGAGCAGGAAACACAACCATAATATGCTAGTGCAAATATACTCATCCCCCTATCACAACTTCCCTTTATTCCACAGAAAAATTAATCTGGTTCTCAAAAGTCCTATCACAAAGCTGGGGGCGTGGTACAAGTGGTACAGCCATTTGCCAAGTGAGCACAAGGCCCTGAATTCAAACTCCACAACTGAAAAAAAAAAAAGGAAGGAAGGAAGGAAAAGCAGCAAAAAAAAGGGTTTGGCTTAGGACATATAAGGGTTATCATTAAAATAAAGAACAAATGAATTATTAAACTATCCAATTAACTAAAATCACAGATACAAAAAATACATAAAAGGATGCCAAGTAATACCGCCTGAATATATGCAGTATTTTCTCTGTCTCGTGGGCCAATCAAATTGCAGAATTTCTCTCTGACTGGATAAAGCCTTCCAGGTATATCAAATATTGGACAATTTCCAAAGAACGCAGAGAGCTTGGCTAATTCCATAGTTGCTGACATTACCACCACCTTCAAATGCTCCTTCCTGTTAGGAGACTTATCCTGAAACAGCTTCTTCAATAAACCAAATAAGATATCCTGAAAGAAAAGTAAAGTCCAGTAAGTTCCAACTGTGCTTAATAGCCAATCTATTTTAAGTACATTGTTATCCTAAGCAGGGAATTCCTATTTCAACAGAGTAAAATTAAGTAAGAAGTAGCAATTTTCTATACAGTAAAAAGCTATCCCCAAATAAGTGAACTACTTGTCAATAATAATTTTTGAAAATACAGTAAAATACTCACTGTAGTTAGAGTTCTTTCATGGGCTTCATCCAAAATAATAACACTGAATTTGGTAAGATTTGGATCTCCCAAAATATGTTTCAGTAAACATCCATCAGTCATGTATTTGATTGCTGTTTCCTAATGTTCAAACAGCAAAGAATATCAACTTTAACATCACAAACATTCACTTCTTCAACTAAATTATTCCTAATACACAGACATCAAGTGATCAAACCAATATGACTAAATAAAAGAGTACATAGTCTAACAAGGATGGTCAATTATGAAATGTGATCTATAGAAATAAGGAACTAAAGTAGGTGTCGTGGGATACAGCAACAAAAATCACCAATAAGGAGACAGAAAGAAGTCAGTGCAAAGTGGCAAGATGCTGCAGCAGCTTCCAAGGAGCAAGTTGTTGGGAAACAAGAAGAATGGATTCATCGCCTCCTTCAGTCACTATTTTAGAGGATTCAGGAGAAAAGATGGAGAAACAATAAGCACACATTTCCCATTCACTCTCTCTTCCCCACCTATTCTTCTATGAAAAAATATAGTCACTTGACTAACATTAAAACAAGATAAAAATAAGACCCAAAGGCTACCAATACTAGCAGTGATAACCATAAAACAAGGAAAAAGAGTGGGAATTCCCCAGGAATGATCCTGAGGGAGGCAAATATAGTATTTTGGGGAAAGTCATTCTGTGCTACATATATTTAATTCCTGTAAGTTAGGAATTCTTTTTTTGTGTGTGGCAGTACTGGGTTTGAACACAGGGACACATTTGGTAGGCAAGACACTTGAACCATGCCCCCAGCCTAGAAATTGTTTTATATTTTGCATAGGATTAAGAAATCTTGAGGAAATCTAAATCATAACTATCACCTACTAAAAAGAAAACAATTTTGAACTTGCTGGTGCCATGCATATAGAAGATACTTTATAAATACTTGCAGACAGGGTTCAGGGTATGGCTCAGTGGTAGAGTGCTTACCTTGCCTAGAATAATCAAGGCCTTGAGTTTTATCCCCAAGACCACAAAAAACTTGCTGACTTTGTTAATTAAGTTGTCAATTTTCCACTGACTCAAGAATACAAACACAACAATGAATGAACTCTGAAAACATACTAAATGAAGTAAGACTCAAAGTACAAAATATTGTGTGATTCCACTTGTATTATACACCTAACTCAGGCAAATGTGTAGAAAGTAGACTAGAGGTTACAGGGGCTGAGGAGTGGGAGGAATGGGGAGTTGACTCTATTATTTAATACATACAGTTTCTGTTTGAGATAATGAAAAAGTCTTGAAAATAAAGGTAATGGGTTACACAACATTGTGACTTGTGAATGTACTTAATGCTGCTGAATTGTATAACTACAAATAGCTAAAATGGTAACATTTATGTTATATACATTTCATAATTAAACTTTCTAAAATATAACATGTTAAGGATCCTTATGACTAAAAAAAAGCATTAAAAAAATTAAGAGAATCCTGAGAAAAATAAACATCACTTCCCTTATAAACTAATTGAGAGGGAAGAAAATGAGATAAATAGCAGAGCTAAAACCTTAACAATGGGCACCAAAAAATAATTCTAATCTGAGGCTTTGTTTCTTTAAAATATATCTGTGGAGTTCTGAAGTTAATAATCTATCACAAAAGCCAGCCATGGTGGTGCACATCTGTAGTACCAGCACTCAGGACATGGAGGTAGGAGGATAGAGAGTTTGAGGTCAATCTGGGCTACAGGGTAAATTTAAAGCCAGCCTAAGCTACAGAGTGAGACCCTGTCTTAAAAACTAAGAACTGCCAGGCACTGGTGCCTCATGCCTCTAATCCTAGCAACTCAGAAGGCAGAGATCAGGAGGATCACAGTTTGAAGCCAGCCCAGGCAAATAGCTCATGAGACCCTATCTGGAAAAAACCCATCACAAAAAAAACGGTTGGTAGAGTGACTCAAGAGGTAGGCCCTGAGTTCAAATCTCAGTTCCAAAAAAAAAAAACCAAAAAACTAAGAACTGATGCAGGGGATGAATTTAACCAAGGTACATTGTAATCATGTATGGAAATATCACAATGAATCTCCCCTGCACAACTAATATATGCTAATAGAAATATTAAAAAAAAAAAACAAAAAAACAAGAAGCACTGGGCATGTAGCTCTGTGAGAAAGCACTTGCCTAGCATGCACAAGGCCCTGGGTTCTATATCCATAACTATCAAAATATATTAAAAAAAGACACAAACTACAAAGTATTGCGTGATACATATATATTTATAGGAAACTGACAAGATACAGACACACACACACACACACATATTTTTTTTTTCACAAACTTAAAAAAAAACTTCTGAACTTTCTCTACTCTTTCTGTAAGTTCCAGTACTTAAATGAATACCAACAAAACTTTTATACCTTGGAGCTGCAATCATCAAAACGAACTTGGTATCCTACTTTGGATCCCAAAGTGCATTTCATTTCTTCAGCAACCCTCTGAGCAACTGATATAGCAGCTACTTTCCGTGGCTGAGTCACACCAATCATACCATGCTGTGAAAACCCTACCAAAACCAGAGGTAAAAAACACAAGTCAAGCACTGCTTCTTCCTACCAGAGCAAAATTGTTTCTTTCAATCAGTACAAACGGTATCTCCAAACGAAAGCCCTGCACATTAACAACATTTTGGACTACATTTGCACCTTGGAAATTTGAGTATTAATTAAAAATAATACATATTCATAATCATTCTAAATGTATATATCTTAGAGTTAAGAGGGGTTTTTTTCATTTTCAGTCTAAAACTTATTGTAAAGAGTAAGTCAAAAAAAAGTTGTGGATTTTTGGGTTTTTTTAGACAAGGTAGGTTTTATCATTTTGCCCCTGCAGGCCTCTAGCCTCTGTGTTCACTCAATCCTACTGCCTCAGTCTCTTAAGTAGTTGGCACTACAGGTGCATATCCCCACACCTGGCTTAAGCATGAATTTTAAAACTTGAGAATCCATAAAATTCCACACATTTTCTAAAATGTGAATTTGCCTTTGCCACATAACTAAAACTGGATTTAAATATACAATCTTTCATAGATTCTTGTAGAAATTTTATACCATTTTATTGCCTTTGGAAATGGAGATACTTCTTAAATTGGTAGCGCTTTTGGGGGGGAGGGGCGGTAGTGGGGATTGAACTCAGAGCCTCATGTTGCACTTACTAATCACTTGAGCCCCAGTTCTTAATGGCACATTTTCTTAATAGTATACAAAATAGTGTATGGCTTAGATAGCATCTGGGGTTTAATGCATCAGAACAAACTAAATAAGAAATGTTAGTTTTTTATGTAAATTACATACAATATATTTTGTTCTTTACTAATCTTATGATAGAAACTTCTACCATGCTGAAGGGACAGACACATTATGGGTAATTTGGCTCTTGGGGGATGTTTTTTGGGCTTTTTGTTGTTGTTGACAGGATCCTGCTATATAGCCTAGGCTGGCCTTGAACTTTTGATCCTTCTGTCCCAGCCTCCCAAGTGCTGGGTTTACAGGTGTGCCCAACCACACCTGGCTCCTTTAGGATTGTTTGTTAGTTGGTTTGGGATTAGCAGAATCAGAGAATAAATATTTACCTGATAATGCTCTGGAGAAGGAACCAAAAAAATATGAATGTCAGCAACAGATAAACTTATACCTTCCCCATCAATATTATTTCAATCCCTAGTGGTTAACAGCCTACTGCAAGACAACCTCACTCTACAAAAAAAAATTAACCTCTATCTGTCATTCTCCTACTATGATTATTATGGTAATTGAAATAGAAAAAAAAGCTATACTAATTCCTAAATTAAAATAAGACCATAGAGAAACAAAGGACAGCCAGGCATAGGGGCTCACACCTAGAATCCCAGCTACTCCAAAGGCAGAGATCAAGGTTCAAAGCCAGCGCAGGAAAGAAAGTTAGCAAGACTCCATCTCAGTCAATAAGTTGGGCATAGTGGAATAGGCTTGACATCCCATCTACATAGGAGGCTGTATGTGGGGAGGCCAGCTGTAGATGGAACAGAAGGCTGTAGGTGGATGGTAGTCTGAGACCAGCTTGGGGCAAAAATTTGAGACCCTACCTGAAGCAAAAAAAAAAAAAAAGGTTGAGGGCATGGCTCAAGTGGTAAGAGTGCCTACCTAGCACTCTTACCCAGTATCGCCATTTAAAAAAACAAAAAACAAAAAAAAGCAGCAGCAAAGGAGACATAGGAAGGGTGCATAGTGGGAAAGTAACAACAATAGATCTCTACACAGTACAGAAGTCTTATTAGCCTTAAAGAGGATATTTTTTCAAGTATTTCTAGTATTTTCCTAGAATGAAATTACCTGCTTCATATAAATATTTTGGAAGTTGAGTTGTTTTACCACTTCCTGTATTTCCAGTAACAATAAGAAATGAATTGTCCCTCACAGCTTGAATAAGCTTTTTTCTTTGTTTCTGAATAGGAAAAGTTGGAGTAGTTCCTCCCTCTTGCGATGTGCATCCTTTCTCCTCTGTAATAACAGAAAAACTGTGCAATTAAAAGACCTATAAAGATACATCTAACAATGTCTCAGAACCAAAAAGAGAAAGGCAATAGAATGCTAGGATGAGAATGGATCAATGCATGACTTTTCAGTTATATCACCTTTATACAATTCATAAGTGAAGGTTTATAGGCCTGGAATAACTTTTTATTGAAAGCAAACAACTTCAGCATTTGTTAACGCCTAACTCAAATAATTTGACAAAGCAGGTCTAGCAGAAGGCAACGTATGTGCATGCATACTACACAGAAGCACAAAAACCAATTTTATTAAATAGACCAAAACCTGGAGCATAGCAGAAAACTCTCAGCTGAATTAGAAGCCACCTGTGTTTGCTTCTGATTCATGGTTCAACTTAGGTCCCTGTTCAGAGTGACTGATATCCCAGAAGGCCAAGTGGTGGGTAACCATGGAAACTGGCTCCTGGAAACTGGCTCCCTTCATACCGTACCCAAAGGCAGGCTGGCGGCCCCAGGAAGGGGGGGCGAGGATGAATGGGTAGAGAACAAAGGCTTTATGAGCCTGTTTAATAGCAGAACGCATTTCTGCTTTAGGGTTCACTTTTTTTGCCCGTAGCAAGGATTTCACCCAACTTGGGTTGGGGACCGCCCCCCTCTAAGCCAAAGTGCTCACTGGACGCAAAGTTTGCCTCAGGCTTGGAGAATCAGGAGGACGCCTCAGCTCCCCTCCCCACTCTTCTCTGCCTGTCAACGGCGTACTTTTACCCCACCCCCCAAGTCCCCTTTTCCAACTCCCGCTGGCTGCCCCAGCGTCCCGCGGACCGCACCTCTATCAACGATGGAAACAGCCGCCGGCCGCTCTTCCTGGAGCTCTCTTGACCGCTCGCCCTCCTCCTGCCGCCTTGGCGCCCGGCCCGCGACAGCAGGAAACCGGGACATAGACCTGGTCACGAGCGAAGGTGAGCACGTCCAGCGATCTGAGGAGATGGGAGGGGAAAGGCGAAGACGCGCCCTGATGACGTAGGGCTGTTTACTTCCGCGCGTGCGACTCGCAGAGAGGGGCGGGGCGGCTCGATGAAGTGGCGCGCGGCTGCCGGGGTTCTCAGACGCCAAGGCTCCACCCCCAGGATTTTCCCGCCAGAAGCCACGTGCGTTCTGCCCCATGCCGGTGAAGCTACAAAGGAAGGCTTTGAAGTCCTCCTCTTGTTTCTCCTCTTTTGAGCCAAAGGGCACAGCGATATCCCTTCGCTGCTCCTCGGTGTCATTGCAGCCGATACTAAGTGCTTCACACACTTGACTTTATATGTCCCTTTGCCAAGACCTGGCACCATCTTACAGGGTGGCCTTCCACAGCTTATTCTTATATTTTCCTATCTGAAATGAACTGTTCAAGACACACAGTTACTGAGTTTCCAGCCAAACTTCTAGTTCTGTAGTTTCCAAAACTTAACGTCCCCCATGCTGTTTCATTCCTTTCATAGAACCATGCATTTTAACTTATTTACATAGTTTCCCCTCCCTCTAACTAGACAGTAAAGCCGCTCAAGAGCCAGAACTTTAGAATATCATTGTACACCCAGCAAACAGCAGTGATTAAAGGTGAGATGTCAGTATTTGTTGAATTTGATGGATAGAAGAATGAATAATTTATCTCCCTAAGAATGAAATTCACTTTTAATAGATACATCTATCTTCCTTGGAAACTAAGATAGCTAAAAAGTTCCTCATATATACAACAGCTGAGGTGGAGTGACTTGTTAAGGTACTTTAAAGGCAGAACTTTCTGCTATAGAAGCTACCAATGTAAATAGTGTCAATTGTAAAAAAAAAAAATGTGAAGAAGATTGTATCTTAGACTTTTTTTTTTCTTTTTGAGACAGAGCCTTATTAAGAAGCCCATGCCAGCCTAGAATTCGTGATTCTCATGCCTCCTCCTCCTGAATGCTTGGATCACAGGCCTATCTAGTGCTGCTTCTTGGGCTTTTCAGTAGTTCCTGCTTACTACCAAAGAAGGCAACTCAAATATATCACTTAATCATCAATTCAAGGTCCCTGCCCTGACCAGATTTCAAAGATGTACTATAAAGTTATTGGAATCCAAGACTGTGATTTAAAGCTTACTTATACCAACTCCTTTTAAATGGAACTAATCAACAACTCCTAAAATTCAAGTTTACCAGATTTTGGATGATACCAAGTCAGGTGCCGCTTTTTAACAGCCTTGTACTGCATGAATACATCTGGTAATAGGAGAAAAATCTTAGGTTTCTCTCATGCACTAAGGCCATCTTCCAACCTGCTGGATTCTGTTAGGAATTCAAAATATTACAAATCAGAAAACACATTTTTAAAAAGCAAATATATGCTTATAGTACAGGCAAGGAAGGTATTGGTGACCTCAGTATTTCAATACAGGGTCAGCTACATCCATGACATAATAAAGTCACCCTTTAAGAAAATGAGCAGAATCCTTTCAGACCAATGGCAGCTATCACTTACTAAGCAATTAGTTACTACTTAAACATTTAAAATAAATTATTTCCTTTATTCCTTCAAAAGCTTAGAGAGGCAAGTTATTGTTATCTCTAGTTTTCACATGTGAGAAAAAAAGTCTCAGAAACTTGCCTATGGTGACAAAGAGCCAAGAGGATCAGGAATCAGTCACACTAATAGCCACTATACTTTTATTTTTGGAAATGAAATTATCCAGGTCTTCTAACTGATAATGTATTTTTTTCCAATGTTTGTAACTCTTACAGAACTGACTCCATGTTTTTTATTTCATGTTGCCTAATGAGACCATCCAGAACAAAATCTACAAGCCAATGATGAAGGAAAATAAAAGCAAAAACCTCAAATGGTACTTACCATTGTTCTTTTTTTTTTTTTTTTTGCAACCAAGGTCATTTAAAATGTGTTACCATTAATAACCATGTGCTTGGGGCTATTTCAAATTAAAAGATTAACAATTATTTCCTGCCCAGTGAGTTTACAAATTTAGGGGCAAAGAAGATACAAATACAGAGTAAAAATAGAAAATACAAGGGTTGAAGTTGGGAAAAAAGATCTGTGTCCTCAACATTGAATCAATGTCATGTTATCTTTGGATCACAAGAAAAATCTAAAAGAAGTGACATTTCATGAAGCATGCGGAATATGAATTGTGCCCTGCTGCTATTGCTTCAGGAGCAGTCTTTAACATGTTCTTGATCCAAGCAACCTGTGTCTTCCAAAAGTGACAGAAAGAAGCCTCAATATTAAAGATTTATAAAAATTAAATGATTAAATCATCAGCAGGAAAGTATGGGATCACTTTTGTGATGGTTAATAAGTAATATGTAGAGCAGAAAAGAAAACTATCAAGCATATTATTAACACAACAGCAACCAGAAAGTTAAAAATACTAGACAAATGATGATATGTAGAAACCTAATTAAAGAACTAAATTGTTGCTAAACAGATTTAAGTAAGCAATGGTATCAAAGCACATTGATTTTTTAAATTCATTAATTTGACCAAACAAAAACAGTTTGGGCAAAATAAAGAGAAGCAGACAAGAAGCCAGATTGTAAGTGAAGAAAAGAGAATTAGAGAGCAAACTGAAGTGTGCTTAATGCATTTGAAGATGTCTAGTTAAAATCAATGAAGATAATTGAAAGGGAAAGAAAAGAATATCTGGGAAGAGATTCACCAATACAGTGTATATGTGGTGATTAAGAAAAAACTTGGTAATTGGAAAACATCATTCTGAGTGAGGTTAGCCTGGCCCAAAAGACTAAAAATTGTATGTTCTCCCTCATATGCGGACATTAGATCAAGGGCAAACACAACAAGGGGATTGAACTTTGATCACAAGATAAAAGTGAGTGCACACATGGGAGATATGAGGATAGGTAAGACACCTAAAAAATTAGCTAGCATTTGTTGTCCTCAATGTAGAGAAACTAAAGCAGATACCTTAAAAGCAACTGAGGCCAATAGGAGAAGGGGACCAGGAACTAGAGAAAAGTTAGATCAAAAAGAATTAACCTAGAAGGTAACACACATGCACAGGAAATTAATGTGAGTCAACTCCCTGTATAGCTATCCTTATCTCAACTAGCAAAAACCCTTCTTCCTTCCTATTATTGCTTATACTCTCTCTTCAACAAAATTAGAGATAAGGGCAAAATAGTTTCTTCCAGGTATTGAGGGGGTGGGGGGGAGAGGGAGGGAGTGGGGGCAGGGGGGAGAAATGACCCAAGCATTGTATGCACATATGAATAATAAAAAAATAAAAATTAAAAAAAAGAAAAAACTTAGTCAATGAAATTATTGGGATTCAGTTAAAATATGCATTTAGGAGAACTGAAACATAGGTATTGATGAAGAAGTAAGTTCACATTTTGAGAAAGGATGCAGCATTAAAGAAGAAAGAATAAACTTTTAGCCAAGCTTAGTATTACAAATTTTCATTTGAAGCACATTTGTATCCTGAAATAAGAACCTTAGTCTCTGTGTTTCCTTCCCCCTTTTCTATCTTACTAGTAAAACAAGGACCTTTCTTCCTCCTCAACCCTCACCAAGCAGAAACAAAGATTCAAGTACACCACTGACCAATGGACCAAATTAAAGCCTCCTGTGTATGCTCAAAGTAGTAGGTTTTTTCTTCTCTGATGGATAGAGCTGTGTCTTGGATAAGGCAGAGAGAGGGGAGGATGTAATGAGAAAGGAAAAATTGACAGGATAAAGAGCCCTCAAAGTAAAAAAGAGAAAAAGGAATTTTTGTTAGAAAGTTCTAATGAAAGGGAAACAAGAAAATGAGCCATCATCAAGTGAAGACCTCCTCCCCCTTTAAAAATAAATCAAAACCAGGCCAGGTACAGTGGCTCACCTTTATAAGACCAGCTATTGGTAAATGGATGGAATTGGAGAACATCATTCTGAGTGAGGTTAGCCTGGCTCAAAAGACCAAAAATCGTATGTTCTCCCTCATATGTGGACATTAGATCAAGGGCAAACACAACAAGGGATTGGACTATGAGCACATGATAAAAGCGAGAGCACACAAGGGAGGGGTGAGGATAGGTAAGACACCTAAAAAACTAGCTAGCATTTGTTGCCCTTAATGCAGAGAAACTAAAGCAGATACCTTAAAGCAACTGAGGCCAATAGGAAAAGGGGACCAGGAACTAGAGAAAAGGTTAGATCAAAAAGAATTAACCTAGAAGGTAACACACACGCACAGGAAATCAATGTGAGTCAATGCCCTGTATAGCTATCCTTATCTCAACCAGCAAAACCCCTTGTTCCTTCCTATTATTGCTTATACTCTCTCTACAACAAAATTAGAGATAAGGGCAAAATAGTTTCTGCTGGGTATTGGGGGGAGCGGGAGGGGTGGAGTGGGTGGTAAGGGAGGGGTGGGGCAGGGGGAGAAATGAACCAAGCCTTGTATGCACATATGAATAATAAAAGAAAAATCAAAAAAAAAAAAATAAGACCAGCTATTTAGGATTCAGAGATTGGGAAGATTAAGGTTCAAAGCCTGCCCCATCTCAACCAATAAAAGCCAAGCATGATGGTGGTGCACACCTATCACTTCAATTACTTGAGAGATGCAGAAAAGAGGATCATTGCTCATATTGTCCTGGGCAAAAGAACATGAGACCTTATTCAAAAAATAACTGAAGCAAAAAGGGCTGGAGGTGTGGCTCAAGTAGTAGAGCACTTGCCTGACATGAAGCCCTGTGTTCAAACCCCAGTACTATCCTGAAAAAAAAAATCAAAACTAAGGAGATAGCAGAGTGGTTCAAGTGATAGAGCACCTTCCTAGCAAGCATGAGTCCCTGAGTTCAAACCCCAGTATCACTAAAAGAAAAAATAAGTGAGGAAAAAATCAAAACCAAAAAACTTTGACCAGTTTATCATGTAGATAAGGCATATAGGCATCAAGGCATATAGGCCTTGAGAGAGAGGAAGATGGAATGTAAGCATAAAGAACTTCACTCTAAAACAGATAGAACTAGACAGAAAAAAAAAGAATTTTTTCATGAGTCTGGTAATAGTGGATTGCATGCTACTGTTACATATTGTAT